TTTTTTTTTTTTTCTTTTCTTCCCTGTCTTAGTATTTTTGTTATGCATAGTGGTGACTTTGTTGAGCTACAGGTATTTCCCGTTGTCTGGTTTCTTCATAGTTATAACACGTGAATAAACATCTATACTCGTCTATTTTTCTTTATCATCAGCAATTGGAGGAAGAAAAGAAGAAAAGGACAGCTGAAGAGATGGGTGATGCCATGAAGTCTTTGGAGAATAGAACTTTGGATTCAAAGAGAGAAATGGATATCCTTGCGACTTTGGATGAAATGAAATCTATGAAGGTGATTATTCATTTTATTGGTATACTCACAGTAGGTGGTCTGTCTACGGATTATGTTACTTCTTTTTCTCTGTTTTATACACACGAATCTGAAAATATTAACCTAATTGCTCTTCTGCCCCCATCTCCAACCTTCCGTATTTTCAGTCAAGACATGCAACTGTGAGTGTAGATGCAATGCTAGAAGCTCTGCAGCGCTCAAATGAGCAGAAGGTAACTACTCTCATCCTCTATTTTGTACAAGTTGCATGTGCTCAATATGCATTTTATGAAAATGGATGTAAGTCATTGGTTACAGTAGCAAAAGCAATGTACCGCTTGACTTGATTTATTCGAGAAGAGGGGCCTTTTAAGTTATCAAAGTGCTGTGAAAGTTATGAACTGTTGCTCTGCCTAATAGATGAAGCCGTCAAATGTGAAACATTACTAGTCCTGTCATGGAAGTTTTCTTGGACTTTGATTTCCGTTTAAAGTGGGAGTATATGATTCTGTAAGCTTCATATAACACTTCAAGCCTATTACTGTTCATATAATACAGGTATATGTCGCATGATGGAGTTTCTTAAATATCATTTTTTTTGCTCATTTGGCTTCTGGCCTTCTGCAGCCAAATCAGGTCTCACAGGTACCTGAGGTTGTTATTGAACAGTGTTAGACATCACTTTCCCCTTGCTGATTCCGGCATGGGTACTTGAACCTTTAAATTTCCTAGGTTCTTTTAAGAACACAAGAAGTTGAAGAATTAAAAAGAAAAAAGAAAAAAATTATTATTATATGGGTTCGTGAAATGCGTGCGATAACACCCTCCTCATCCCCACAATATCAAGTAAATATTTTGGCTGCAGCGCAGAAAATATTCATTTTTAGCACTTATTTGCATTCAAGTATAGTTGGCCTGTTGTCATTCTGTTTCGACCGAACCCTTTCTAAGTGGGTGTTTGTTTTGTAGGAGAGGAAGTTAGATGAAGAAGATGAAGCTCTTATAAAATCAGTGTTCAAGGTATGTAGGGAATCTCTCTCTCCCATCTCTTGTATGTCTTAGGCTTTGTTATTGTCCAAATTCTTAGGCTTTCCATGTGCTACTTTAAATGAAGGGACAACGTGAGCCTGTGGTTTTACGAAGGATTGATGATGAAGATTTAGATGATGATGAGGATGAGTATTTATTTGCTGCTGAAACTGATGAAAAATCATCTCGTCCTTCGAAGGTAAATTTTTTTACTTGCCATCAAGCTTGAGAGTTTTTTCTGTATGAATTTTCATAAAAGAAATTGTCCAGGAATTTATTTGAATTCTGAAATTAGAAAGATCCTTTGTTACCTTTACTAGTGTACTAGCAAACACTAGTGTTGCCTCTTGATGCTTTTTGTTACTGATACCGTAAGTTGGAGTACATCCCAAAACTGCCCTTGATCACCCCATTCTGAAAAACTTACCTGCAGTGTCTCCAATTTTCCAATATTGCTGCAATAAAATCGGAGATGGAAAAATAAAATTAAAAGTCACATGAAGAGGCGTCGAAAAATGTATAATTTGTTGTGCAGAAGGGTATAATTGATGTTAATTCTGAGGCCTGCCAAAGTACTTGTTAAGTATGGGATTGAGGCCTGTTAGTGCTTTATAGTTGTTTTGCTGTTTTACCTACATCCCTTAAATGTTCGGATTAGAAAATTTGGATATGTATAAATATTAATTTTTACCGAGATAAGTGGTGAATAATCAATTAAAAGACCCAACCAAATTTAATTTAAGGAACAGTAACAAAAATGACTCGTGTTTTATGTATAGACATTTTGTTAGGAGTAAAATAACTGCTCTTTGTTGAACTAATCAGGTCCAATGAAATTCGTTCCTAAGCATGCTTGTTAATTTTGCAGAGGATAAAAGTGCATGAAGAGAATCATTCTAAACCAACAGATATTTTGACAAAAGTCAGCGTTGACAGCTCCAGCAGTCGAGGTTTGCAACACAAACTTTCTATATGCGTAGTGATGTGTGTCTGTGTATTGTAGTTTTATCTCGAGTAAAAAACCAGTATATTTTACTGCTTCGTTATTATATTTCAGAAGTGCAGAATTCTCTCTTGTGCAATGGAATTTTTCTTTTCTTTTGCCTTCGGTTTTTCTATTTATACTCTATAGGGAACTTGGGGGTTGGGGTTTCTGTTAATCTAACACTTTACCACAATCAAAACTCATTCATTGGGGTTCAAAGTTCACACTGGGTGGTGAATCGGTCAATCTTCTGTTCAACTGGAGACGACATTGAAACATTTAAACAACTTTGATTAGGATTCTATTTCTGTACTTGAAGTTTTCAGTAGATGCTTACGTTTACGGTTCATTTGCGATATCCTTATAGCTAATAGAATTCACTGCGTTTGAACTGTGTCTTGGTTGGTTTTTGGTGAATGTGCACAATGAATAGCATTCATTGTGGAATCTCTGTATAGATAATATCTTTCGCATGGTTGTCTACAGATAATGCCGGTGCTCGTGGGGCTCCCGATAAGGGAAAGTTTCTTTTCAAGTCCTCTTCTGTTCGGGTTTCAATTGTGAAGAAACCAACTGCAGAGTCGAAGGGGAAGAAGCTCAGGGAGGAGACTGTGAAGGGCGATGAACAATGTCCAGCGGCTAACAAGGATGAAGAAGAAAAGCAAGATGCCGAACACATATCTGTTACGAGCAGTGGATTACAATCCCTATGTCAGTTGTATGGAAGTGATGAAGATGATGAGTGACAATTGATATCACATTTTGTCACCTTGTCGAAAAGAACATAAAAAAAGTCAATAGGGATTATAATAATTTGTGGGGATTTTTCATGTTGAAAGCAAATTATGCCTATAGTTGCTGGCAAGATTGTGATTTGTGGGTATAAAGTAAACATGCTGTCTTTATAGGAGATTCATTTTGTTGACTGGCCTGTTATGAAAGTTGGTGTGAAACTCCGTTGAGCAACACTTGCTTTATGATTGAGCAACTTTTATATTCTATGACACCC